CCTGGAGCCTGGTGGGATTTGATCTGCCGAACTGCAGCAGGAGCAGCTGGCAGTGCTGCACTCTAACCCCTGCGCCACCGAGGCTCTTCCAATGAGGTGCGTTCATGGGGACTCCTGAGCCGAGGAGAACGGCAACAGAAATCATGCCAACGCCACGCCTATCCGTCCCCTTGGGTGGTGGAGAAAACGTTTATGTTATACGGAAGGGATCCGGATTCTGATCCGAGTTGGGCCTTGGGAGTTGTTTCCGGAGTCTCTTCATCCCATAACGCTACACAGGCGGTCCTTCGTCAACAACGGAAACCGGGACTGGAACCGCTGCCATTAAGCAACGCGATCCTCAAGCAGGACATCATCAGGTGACCATGCCGCTTAAGGGCGGCATTTCTGGCCGTCCCGGTTGCTGTTGTTAAGCCAATCCCCCAAGGGTGGTCACATGACCTCTGCCTCTGGGGCTGGAATGAAGCCGGGATCAGGACCAAAGATGAGGGGACTGCAGTGGCCTCTGATCTCTCAGGTCCTCCTCCTCCTCCCCCTCCTTGCTTGCTGCTGCTTCCACTGCTGGGCTCCCATGTTCCTGGCTCCTCCTCCCACACCTGAACTGAATCTCTCAGCGCCACAGAAGGTACGACAGCCGTCTCTCTTTGCCTGCTCCCCCGCCCTCGTGAACATGCAGGGCCCGTGGTGAATCGGCCCAGTGGGTGAGCAAGCCAGGATTAGTAAGGGATTAGCGGATGGATGGCGCCAGCCTGCCAGCGATCAGTCGGTCGTGAACGCATGCCATGACTTGTGACCAACAATGGCCCTCTTACCCCGTATCCTTGTAGGCAGTGCACACGCTCTGGGAAAGCCAGTTTTCCTGGAGGACGAGAACTACTCCCTGCGGGGGGCTGGGGGGGGACCCCCGATAGCAACAGCACTTGAGGCTTATATGCCGCTCCACGGTGCTTCACGGCCCTCTCTTCTAAGCGGTTTATACAATATCGACCCCCCTAATAACCTGAGTCGTCATTTTACTGGCCTCGGAAGGATGGAAAGCTGAGTCGACCTTGAGCCGGTCAGGATCGAACAGCTGGCAGTGGGCAGAGTTAGCCGGCAATGCTGCCCTCTAACCCCTGTGCCACCAGGGCTCCTCGTCTGGGGATTTGAGACGCGTTCCTGGGCCCTGCCAGGGGCATCCGCGGCGTGGAAGTCACGGAGAGGGAAACTCCAGGCCAGGGAGGAGGAGGGCAGCACTGGCCCCGTCGGCCTTGATGAAGGGGCCCCGTCCAGAGAGGGTCCCTGCCTCCCCCGTCAACCCATCAGCTGTGGAGTTCAGTCTTCTTTGGCCCGGCCTGCCAGGAATGCGGGGGAGGGGGGAGTCCCAACCCACAGAGGCCCACAGAGGCTGGAGAAGGCCAGGGAGACAAGGTAACTCCCCCCCGCCCCCAAATGTGTGCTTCAGTGGGACTCTTCCCCAGATTGTCCCAATGAACCACACGGGGGCTCTGTGCCTTTTGTAAATGGGTCCGGAAAGACCCCCGTTTTATCCAAGTCACAAGCAGCTCAACCTCAAACCCCTCTCACTGCAGTGGCCATCAATGAGATCTTCATTTGGAAACGAGGAGCTGCCACCAGGTCTCCCCGGGAGCCCACCTAGCCATGGAGTTTATGCCCAGGCAGAGCATTGGGCAAGATGATCTCTTGAGTTCCCTTCTAGGTTCCCGTGAACCCCGTGGGCCCTGCGGCACGGGAGAGAAGCGCTTCTCCCCTCCGCTCATCCCACTCTTTCATTCTTGGAGCTTCCTAGAGAGGGTTCTTGTGTGTGTGTGTGTGTGTGTGTGTGTGTTATGGTTAATGGTTGTGCAGTGACCTTGCAGAAGAATTATCGGTCTGGCACGGAAATCAGGCCTCTGGATAATTTAATGTCTTTAAATTTAACACGCAGGGCGAATATGCTCTCAGCCAGCAAGGTTTCTCCAAACGTGGCCCCTTTAAGACTCGCGGACTTCAACTCCCAGAATTCTGTGCTGGCTGGGGCATACTGGGAGTTGAAGCCCACCAGTCTTAAAGGGGCCACGTTTGGAGACTGCTGCACTAGACCAACTGACGCAACCAAATAGAGCGCAGGAACTTAGTGCTGCCGTGTCTCCTTCAGACCCCTGTGGCCGAAGCACATTTCCCGGAAGTCCCTCCTCCAGGCTGGCATCCAACAGGGAGAGAAGCCGCCGCCTTAAGAGATGCCTTTGCCCTCCATTCGCCCACCTTTGGGATCGCCAGACCCCATTGGGGTGGGGGTGGGTGTGGGGTGGGTGGGGCGGTGGCAACAAAGCCTACAAGGAAATTGGTAAGGTGTTAATTGCCTTAGTTGGAAGCTCCGAGCAGGATACTACAAGTTTCAGCTGAGGATTATTTAGCCAGGACACAGAGAAAGAGGAAGGTTTACCCTAGTGGCTAAAAGGCTTAAAATGGTTTAATTCTCTTCGGGGTCTTTGTCAGATCTGTAAGAATACAAAGCAATGGTGGGTTTTGGAAACACAAAGTCCATCAGTCACATCCCCTTCCTCTTCTGTCCTCCTTCCTCCTCCTCTCCCTCCTCTCCTCTTCCCCCCCCAACCCCTCCCACTAGAGACAGGGGACAGGTTACAGTACACTTCTAGGTAAACGGGGCGGGGGGGGGGAACGGACACCCGGACTTGAACTCAGGTGAAGCTCTGGGACGCCCCACCTTGGCAGCTTGTAAGGCTTGTGGCCTGCGACTCCCAGCCTCACTCAGTCGACCGTGCCGGCTCAGGAATTTGGGGAGTTGAAGTCTGTGGGTCGTGAAGGGGCTGCAGCTGCCCACCCCTCTTCTACGCAGTGCCGCGGGGGTCTCAAGTGGAACTGGGGGGGGTTTCCCACCCAAGCGTGGTAATCCTTCAGTTCTGGGGAAAACGGGAAGGGTCTCCTCCTAGAAGTCCCCAAGGTTGAGGGAAGGGGGCCAGACCTCCCCACGCAGGAGACGGCGGCAGAGGAGAGGCCACCCTCCATTTCCCTGCTGAGGTCGGGGATTTCCTGCTCTGGCCCCTCGGAGGGGGCTCCCCGGCTCCTCCCCTCCCCCGGATTCTGGGCCCTCAGAGGGATGGCTGCGCTTGGGGGGGGGGGGGCTTGGCGAGGGGCTCCACCTGGAAAGGCCTCCTTAGGAGGAGATCTCGGCACGAATTTGCCTCGCCTGATGAAGCACTCAGTCCAGAAACCTGCTGCTCACTAAACGAAGAAAAGCGGTGGGATCTCGGCTGATCGGCTTTGGCCAAAGGAGGGGAGGGGAAGCGGGATCCGTTTGCTGGGGGAGGGCGAGGAGGAATCCCACTGAGGTTTCATACAAGGCCCAGGGGGGGCTTGGCAAATCGAAGGCAACCTCTGCCCAAAATGATACGGACTGAAGGAAGGACATAAAATAGCCTCCTCCTATCTGAGCGAGTGCTCCACCGGATTCTCCGGTCACTCACCGGATCCTCCACCGGATCCACTCAGAAAAGAGATCTGGGGGCCGTGTAATAATAATGGCAGAAGAGGTCTGTGCGTGATCCGTTTGATCCGAAGCCGCAGATGCTCCGTCACTGGAGGCTTTGAAAAGGACCCAGGAGACCCAGAAGGATGCAGGGCCAGGGCGTCCAACCCTGTAGGACTTGTGGACTTCAACTCCCAGAATTCCCCAGCCAGCGTGATCAGGGGGTTGGACTAGAAGACCTCTGAGGTCCCTTCCAAGTTTGTTACACTGGGATTCCACTTCTCCCTGGGGAGCCCAACCCTCCTTCCCGCTGCTTTCTTGCCTGGCCCGCTTTTCCTCTTCAGGGGTTCATGAATGGGGGGGGGTCCTCCCTCCCCCCCTTTGACCCGCAAGGCCCCTCCAGGATGGGTGCCAATCGGGCAGGTGCAGAAGGGGCGAACCCCAGGCCTGAGCAGCGACACATTGGGGTCCTGAACCCGAGGCCGGTTGAGGCCTTTGGCTCACGCGGGGTCTCCCTTGGCACTGACCTGCACCCATCTCCACGTTGCTAAATACGGGTAGTCCTCGACTTACGACCACAGGGGAGCCCGACCCTTCTGTTAAGTGAGTTTTGTTGCCCCATTTTGCGACCTTTCTTGCCACCGTTGTAATGTGAATCAGTGCAGCTGGTAAGACAGTAACCCCGTTGTTAAACGAATCCAGCTTCCCCAGTGGCTTGGCTTGTCAGGTTGAAAAAAGGGGACCCCAGGGCACTGCAGCCGTTGTAAGAGTCAACGGCCAAAGGTCTGAACTTGGATAACGGGGATGTGGCCGAACTCCTGGTCTGTGAAAAAGGGTCCTGAGCCCCCTTTCCCCCAGAGTCGTCGTAACCTTGAAAGGTCACAAACAAACTGTCGTAAGTTGAGGACTGCCCGTATCTAGGAAACCAAGGCCCCTTTTTAGGCCTCGGAGGCAGGGCAGCCCCGTCGCAAAAGGAGGCCCAGGCCACCCGCATCCGCTGTGTGAGACGGGCCGGGCCGCTCAGAGCCGGGAGGGAGGAGGAGGAGGGAAGGCTGGTTTCGCTCTTCCGACGGTGACCCAGTCCTGACGTTGCTCGACTTCCATGGGGCATGGCGGGAAGGGGAGGCCCAGGGGTGTGTGTGTGTGTGTGTGTGTGTGTGTGTGTGTGTGTGAAAGGATGAAGCCTCTGCCTGCTGTAGGGCCCTCGGGGCCCAAAGAGCAAAACTCGAAAGCCAACCTGGAACCGCAGAACTGGCCGAGTGAGGAGGAGGAGGAGGAGAAAGAGGAAAGGGACAAGCGGGAGGGGCCTTAGCGTTCTCCCCAAATCTCCCCCCCCCCCCGAATCTAAACGGGGGACCACCGCGAAAACGCCAATCTGGCGTCCCCCCCCCCCCCCCCCCCCCCCGGAAGGCCACCAGCACAGGGTTCGCTGAACCAGGGCCCTCCTGGCCCGGGAGGACGGACGCTGGGGAAGTAGGGAGGCCCCCTGCAGCCCCCCCCCTCTCGGTCTGGCTGGGCGGGGGTCTCTTACCGTGCTGCCACCACGGGAGGCTTCTTTCCAGGGTCGAAGACGCCACCGGCGGGTTCCTCCCCCAGGGAGCGGGTGTCCTTGTTCAGCTGCTGCAGCCGGGAACTCAGCTCGCTGATCACAGTTGGTTTGTCATCTTCCGGCCCCTGGATGGGCCTGCTGTCCAGGGGGTCCCCCCACAGCTTGGACCTTCGCTGAAAGAGGTAGCGTGGCCGGCCGACGCTGGCGGAAGCCAGGATGGCCGCGTGTTGCTGGGAGATGAGCTCGCTGTCCGAGGACTGCTTCAAAAGAGGGTCCCTGAAGGTTACCGGCCCCTTGCTGGTCTGGGACTTGAGTTTCGGCTTTGGAGGCACTGGCGGCTTCTCGAGTACAAAAGTGTGCCCATCCGCAAAGGAGGTGTAGGTGTCGGTGGGCTCCCCGCTCTCGGAGGACAGCGTGGACATGCTGGAGACGGTGGAGATGGTGCTTGTGGTCTCCAGGTGATGGTCACTTGAACTCCTGGTGTCCACCTCTTCCACGCCCGAGTCCGCAGCAGACTCGGGGGCGGTGGGGGCATCAGAGGGCTTCCCTGAGGGTGTTCCACCAGTGGTAGAAGGGAGGGCTGCTGCCGCTGGCACGGATGGCGGGGCGATGGCTGGAGCAGCCAGTTGGCTGATAGGGGTGCCAGCGGTGGTGACCAAGACCCCGTTTGCAAACTCGTCGGGCGGCGGCACCAGGCCGATCTTCGCCAGCTCCTCCCGGGTCTCCTCATCGCTGGAGGACAGCTGAGCGGGCGGCAGAGTGACCGTGTACGTCTCCACTTCCTCCTCCGAACTCCCTTGTCCGAGAGTCTTGCCCAAGGCTGGGCTGACGGGCACCTTCCCCACCGGGCTGGGCTGGGCCTCCGCCATGGAGACTTCCCCCGGCTCTGGGCCCCCCTCTGGCACGGGGCTCTTCTCCTCCTTCACGTCGAAGCCGAGGTCTTGGCCGTTGCTTGTCGCGTGCACCATGATGAGGCCGGCCGTCTTCTGCTGCGAGGTGTCCAGGATGCTGAGGATCATGGCCTTCTTCTCCTCCACCTTCTTCTCCTCCACCTCCTTCACCGGGGTCTCGGTTCGGGCCTCGCCCTCTTTCCTGGCGCTTCCGGGCATCCCCCAGAGGCTCTGGGTAGGGGTCAGAGAGCTGGGGGTGGCCACCTTGGATCCCGGGGAATTGGCAGGAGACCCCCGGCCTTCCAGCTCACCCCTCTCCTGGTCTTTGGTTTGGATGTCCACGAACAAGGGGGCAGCCCGGTCAGAGTCGGGGCTGTGGATGGGGGTGGCCACTCTGGAGGAGACCTGGGTGGAGAGGGCTCGCTCTCTCGCGGCCAGCGCCAGCGCCAGGGGGGAGTTGGGGTCGAGGGGCTTCCCCGTCAGGGGGTGTATGAACGTCGAGGAGGAGCTGCTGAGGAATGGCTTTAGAGCGGAGACGGGGGAAGGCAGGAGGACGTCCCGGCTCCCCAGCAGACGCTCGTCGATGGACCGGGATTGCTGCAGCGATGGCATGTCTATGGTGGGGGGGCTCCCCTCGATGGCCCCCACGGAAAGGAAGACAGTGGATTTCCGCTTCTCGTCAAGGCGCCGGTCGCGCTCCTTCATGGCCCCTGGGGCCGCCGTGGCAAAGGGCAGGCTGGCGGTGTCCACTTGCTGGGAGGGGAACTCCATCCCGCTCAGGCGGTGGCCCCGCCGGGTGGGGGAGGGCTCCCGGGCGAAGCCCCCTGCCACGGAGAGCGCCGCCCGCTCCTGCGCGTCCTCCACCTGCAGCTGCTTGACCAGGGGGCTCTTCTTGCGCTGGGGCTTGGTGGGGGCAAAGAGGCTGACGTTGAACTGGCCCATGTTGGCGTAGGGGTTGTCTGCCCCGCGTCCCTTCCGCTTCAGCTTCTCCGGCGGGGTGGCCGAGGGGCCTGGCCGGGGGAAGTCGGTGGGCTCCACGGGGATGTGGGAGGAGTCTTGCAGGATGATCATGGAGCGGGCCCGCTTCTGCCGCTCCGGGTAGGGGATGCCGGCCCTGGCCTGGTCATACATCTCGGCCGCGCTGATCACCGGGGGCAGCCCATGCAGCTTGGCCTCCAAGCCCGGCTTGAAGCTGGAGCGGACCGTGTCGTAGACCCTCCCTGGGGGCGGGGGCGGGGAGAAGGTGGGGGGCGGGCCCGTGTCAAAGTAGTAGGGGGAGGGGGGAGGGGGAGGGGCGGTTTGTGGTGGGGGCGGGATGCCGTGGCCCTCTCGGACAGTGTCTTGCATCGATGTACTCCGGGGAAATTTTCCATCCATTAGGGAAGCCGCAAATTTTTCATCTTCGCCTAAAACAACAGCAAGAGAGGAAAAGTTGCCGCTCCTTCGGGAGGTCAAAAGAGGCTTCTCCCCCTCCGACTGCCAGTCAGACAGACCACAAAGCCTGCAACCGAGGCAAAGCTTGGGGTGCCCGCTGGCAGCTTCACCATAGGCGGTTGGAATGGAGGGGTCCTGGGTGCCCTCGTTTTCTTGCAGACGTTTCATGACCAAGCGAGGTAACTTCATCAGTGCTAGAGGGGAGCAAGCAGCCTAATCAAAGAACCAACGAGAACCCCCCCCCCAAAAAAGAGTGGCAGGGTAAGCCACTAGTATACCGAGAGCAAACCACACTCCCTTCTAGCCCTGGTGACGTTACCTAGCTTGGGTCATAAAACGCCTGCAAGAAAGCAACCCAGGCTCAGAGACACACTAAGGACCGCCCCCCCGCCCCCATTTCAACCCCGAGCCACAAATATTCTCCTTTAGAGGTTGGCATTCTTGAGTCAGGAACCGGCCCGGGAGGGAGGCCTGCAGCTGCAGGCCAGTGCCCAGGACTGCGGAGCGGGACGGTGCAGAGCAGGCCGGGCGACGTGCCTTGGAAGTCGGGGAAGGCCAATAAAGGGGGAATCCTTTTCTCTTGCAAGGAGCCCTTTGCACCCTGAGCAGGGATTCGGATTCCTCTGGAGTCTGGCATCCAGAGAAGGATGTTGCTAAGCAGGACCAAGCCAGCTGCGTCCTCTTGCCCAGGGCAGTGTAATGCGCAAAGGCCCCGTGGAGGACACCCAGTGTACCGTTGCTGCCCTGCGCCTTCTGGGCTGTGGTGGGCTGGGCATGTCTAGGGTGAGGAGTGTGGCCACAGCCTCTGCAGCGCATGCATTCAGATTGGCCAGTGGCCTCAGAGGCTGGGGACCCCCCTCCCACTGCCCTGCCTGCCAGCTGCGCATGGAGGTCATGGCACAAATGATAACGCGCATATGCCACTTATACACAGGAGCCTTGCTGCGATGACACACTCCTTCCTCTCGCAGGCTGAAGAATTATGACCGCAAGGGAGCCCAAAGTTTCTGTGGCTGAGTGAGACAGTCGCTAAGTGAGTTTTGCCCCCTTTTATAACCCTTTTCTGCCACAGTTGTTAAGGGAATCACTGCAGGTGTTAAGTCAGTCTCACGGCTTTAAACCTAGCTTCTCAGACAGTAGCAAATGGGGATCACGTGACCCCGGGAAACGGCGACCATCATAAATATGAACCAGTTGCAAGTGCCTGACTTTTGATGGGGATGCTGCAATGGCCAGAAGTGTGAAAAACGGCCATAAATCACTTTTTTCAATGCCACTGTAACTTTGAATGGGGATCCCTCACTAAATGAGGGATTGTCTGTCAAAAACCCTGTAACGAAGCCCCCGATGTGTCCACTGAAAGGAGGGGTCTCTGTATGCAGCCACCAGGCATGAGGACATGGGGGGGGGTCCTGGGGAGGGGGCTGCAGGAAAGGGTTGGATTCTGCCCCTTAAGGGTTTGGGGATGAAGTGGGATATCCTGCCTCTCAACTCTGGCTCCCAACCGAACGACCAGGACATCAAAACAAGAGCAGAGCAGAAGGAAAAACAGAGGAAAACGGACAATTATAGACACAGACGGAGACCCTCCTAGACTTGGGAGGGTTCTGGGAAGGGGAAGGGGCCTTCGGGGGGAAGAAGCAGAGCAATAGCAGCCCACCCAGGTGGGTGAATCTACAGGGCAGCCAGTGCTGCCAACGCCCACAGCCAGACAGGGTCCTATGGGGCAGAGGAGGTGCCACTGCCAGCGTCCTGTGCTCAGGTGCAACTGGGCACAGGCAATGCACTCCTTTTACACCGGGGCTCTGCAAACTTGGCCACTTTAAGACTTCAGGACCAACTCCCAGAATTCGCCAGCCACGTCGGCTGAGGAATTCTGGGAGTTGAAGTTCCCACACCTCAAAAGTTGCAAAGTTTGGAGGCGCCTGCATTATGGCAAGCACAGTCCTTGGGCCCAAGGATCAAACTGCAACACAACCAGTGCTGCATTCCTGTGTGATGACCCGGAGCGTTATCAAAGCTATAACAAAAACCAAAACATAAATATAAAGGTCCTTTAATGCCTTCAACTTGGCTTCACTGTTTAATTGTTCACCGTTGAAGATTCAACTAGTTTCAAAATAACATTCCAAACGAAAGAAACACAGTTTAAATTCAAAGAGCCGATAATGAAGCAAAAACCCAAAATAAACCTCACTGAATAAAGTTCCACAACAGACCAGGATAAATAATTACAAACTTCAAGAAGATAACCAGGGACAGTCCGTTGGAAGAACGCCAACCAAGATAAACCTCCTTTAGGAATGAAACACTAATTTGTCTCCAGCGTCTGTTAGCACGCAAGTCCAAACTCTTATGCAGATCTCACACCTGCAGCCCATGAAGGGGATCAAGGCCCTTTCCTCCCCCGTAGACCACGCCATTCATGTTTTTCCCTTATCCTCTCCTCCCTGCGTGCCCTAGGATGGAGAGGGGATGGGCCTGGGTCTTCCTCTGACTGCCCAGCCGGCCTCTGCCCTTCCCCAGCCTCCTCCACCACCTCCGGAGCCACACTTCCACTCCCTGTCGGCTGTTCCTCCTCTTCCTCAGAGTCAGTCTCCACCAGGGGCAGCATGACACTGCTTGAGACAATAAGGACCCCCTTGACTGCCCCCGCTTCCTTCTCCCCACACCTTCTTCCCTTGGCATCCCTTGTGTCATGCTCCTGGTGGGGGCTGAGGGAGAGGAGGAACGGCCGACAGGGAGTGGAGGTGTGGCTCTGGAGGTTGTGGAGGAGGCTGGGGAAGGGCAGAGGAAGACCCAGGCCCATCCCCTCTCCATCCTAGGGCAAGCAGGGAAGAGAGGATAAGGGAGAGGCGTGGTCTACTCAGGAGGAGAGGGCCTTGATCCTCTTCATGGGATGCAGGTGTGACAACTGCACAAGAGTTTGGACCTGCGTACTGGCGAACGCTGAAAACGAAGTGTGGAAATATCTCTAATTTATAGATCCTCTCTGAGTTTGGCGTCCTTCCCAGGGTGTGTTATCTGTGGACATCCTCCAGCCCTTGTCTTGCCTGCGTTGTGTTGATTTTTTCCTTCTTCATGTAACTGTGTGGGAGTTTTTTGTGTGTCTTCCGTCAAAGTTATTTGGAGTTTTGAAGCAAACTGAAGAAATAAAAGGGGCTTCACCTGTTTTCTGTGACTGTGTGTGTTTTGTATCCCACCCTGGGTCATCACACCTTGGAGCAGGGGGACTCCAACTGTGGCAACTTTAAGACTTGTGGACTTCAACTCCCAGAATTCCTCCAGACTGTGGTGTAGGAGGGCAAGATGTAAATAATGCCAACGCTGCAAACTGCCCAGAGAGCGCTGTGAGGCAGGGGACGCCAACCGTGGCCACTTTTAAGAGTTGTGGACTTCAACTCCCGAGCAAATCTGGCTGAGGAATTTTGGGAGATGAAGTCCACAAGCCTTAAAAGGGCCAAGGTTGGCGTTCCCCTGCCTTGGAGGGTCGAATCCTGGCCTCACCTGGACCAATGCAACCAGAGATACATCTCTGCATCCTTGCTTGGCCCCGTTTCCACATCATACCGAGGGGAAAAAACCCGCCCAGAAGCTTCTGGGCTGTGAATCACTGCTGCTTGTCAGCGGCTGCTGTGCCCAGAATATTTTCCCACAGGCGGGGAGACTGGCATCTCTCCTGGGGGGTGGGGGGGGAAGGCACCCTGCAACACCGCTCCAGGTGTGCTGGCAGATGGCGGAGGAGCAGCAGCCACCCCTTGAGGTGTCACCAGGCACTCCACGGCTCTGCCTGCCCCCCCCCCCGTTTCCTCTTAAGCGCTGCGTCCAGCTGGAATTCTCCCACGGCCAGGGAGGGGAGGGCCACTTCCCCATCTCCACCTGTTGCAATATCCCCCTCCCCCTTTTTCTTAAATGAAAATCTGACAAGGTGGGCGCCTCGTTCCGGAGCCCTGAATTATTATTTTCAGCTCCAGCAGGAATTTCCCCCCCTTGCTTTGCTGGAAACACTGGGGTTCCCGCCCACCCCGCCCCTCCTACAGGCGTTCTGAGGATGCCCTGCTGGGCAAAGCATGAACGGCACTGGTGGGGTTCCATATTTTTGCCACCAGTTTTGTGGGCGTGGCTTGGTGGGCGTGGCCGGGGAAGGATACTGTAAAATCTCCCTTCCCTTCCCACAGGAGAACGGAGCTGGAAAGCAGGGGAGTGGGGGGTGGGAGGGAATGGGATTTTGCAGTCATTCTCCCCCAGGTTACCGCGAGATCCCATTCCCTCCCCACCCCACTCACCTGCTTTCCAGCTCCGTTTTCCTGGGCAGGGCAACCAAAGGACACCCAGCTGATCAGCTGGGACTCGATGGGAGGCAGAGAAGAGATGGGCCAGTCGGAGGTGGGATTTGCTGGTTCTCCAAACCAGTGGCCCCCAACCTTTTTTGTGCCACGGCCCGGTACTGGCATCATAAAATGATCCGCGGCCCGGTACCAGCATCAGCACGCATGACAAGGCAAGACGAGACGAGCGACTGGCCAGCCAGCCATCCCCCACTTCTCCCCGCCACCTTCAACCTCCTCCTTTGTACCTTTGTCGATGGGCTTCGCTTCGGGACGGCTTCGGGACGGTCGCTCGGCTCACCTTGCCTTGGGTGCTGAAAGAATCCTCGCGCCTGAGTTTTGTTCGAAGCTGCCCCCCCTTCGAGGAAACTAAGGCGCAAGGATTCCTTCAGGACCCAAATGCCGCTTTCCAACCGGAAAAGCTCACCTGGAAGCACTTTCTTGTCAAACAAGATGGCAGCACCCAGCAAACCAGTGGCCCGGTAGAAAATGTTCCACGGACTGGTACCGGTCCGCGGTCCAGTGGTTGGGGCCCCCTGCTCCAAACTACTCAACATTTCTGCTACCGGTTCTCTAGAACTGGTCAGAACCGGCTGAATATGCCACCTCTGAGGAAGGGGAAAATTTCCTTCCGTAAATTTTGTGTCTTGCGTTGTTGGAGCAGCCCTGCTCGCTCTCCAATCAGCTCAGTGAACAGCAGCCGCCCAGGCAGGTGTGGAAGAAGTCCCGGGGATCTGGCTGAGAGCCACGGGGTGCTTTGAATGTGTTCCCAGGCCCGATATTCAGACCCCGATTTGTTTTTAAGAAGAACCGAGGGAGATGGGAGGGAGGCCAGTCAGGGCTCTCTCGCCAGGAAACCCTTGCCGGAGTTCCCCGGGAAGATGGCTTGGTCAGGGGGGTTCCCAGCAGCGCCTGCAACCCCTGCCCATCTCCCGGGGACAAGCATCTCACGCGTGTGGCACCACCAGGCGATGCTTACCCAAGAGAGCCAGCTCCAGGAGCAACCGGCCGGCCAGCCGGCCCCCGCTGCCCCAGGCGAACCCCACCATGGGCTGTCCTTGCTGCTTCAGAAGCAGGCAAACCGAGAAGGGCCTGGCTCCTCCAGGGGAGACCAAGTCAGGGGCCCCTTCAGGCAACCAAAGCCAGCCTCTCAGAAGCCCCCCAGGCCTTCCTCTGAGGCAGGGGGTCTCCAAACTGGGCCCCTTGAAGACTGGTGGACTTCGCTCCCAGGTATTCTGGGAGTCGCACCAGCTTGGAGGGCCCTGCCCTAGAGGAAGGGGCGGGGGCATTTAGAGGAGGAGGAGCCTGGGCAGCCACGCGAGGGGAAACCCCCTCCCCCTTTTAAAGGCTGTGAATCCTAATTCGGGTGGCCACCGGAGCCGCCTTCCTGCCTCCCTGGGCGGCTGAACTGGGGCTTTGCGGCTGGGGGTGCAGACGGGGCCGGCTGCCCGGAGCTCAGGGAAAGCCAGAGAGGACCCCACCTACCTACAGACTTGGTCCGCGGGAGGCCTCTGCGGAGGGAGACGTGGGGCTTCTCTGGCCCCGCCTGGGCCGCCATCCCCTGGCGCTCGAAGAGGGACTGGAAAGGAAGGGAGAGCCAGTCAGTGCCAGGCCAGAGGCCACGGCCCCTCCCCTCCTGCCCACCCTGGCCGGTGGGGGGACAGGGCAGGGCCGCAAGGGAGACCCCAGCCCCACCCACAGGCAGTCCTCGACTTACAACAGTTCATTTAGTGGCCGCTGGAAGTAAGAGTGGCTTACGAATAAGTTTTTCACCCTTACGACCGTTGCATCATCCCCATGGCCACGTGGTCACAATTCAGAGGCTTGGCAACCGGCCTGGACTTATGACAGCACCCCCGAGGGCCACGTGATCCCATTTGCGAGCTTCGGACCAGCCCAGCCAATGAGGAAGTCAGGTTCACTTAAGAACTGGGTTGCTAACTTGCACCAACTGCGGTGATTCACTTAACAACAGTGGCAAGAAAGGTTGGGAAAAGGTTGCAGAACTCACTTAATGGATGCCTCACTTAGCGACACATGTCTTGGGCTCAACAGCGGTCATAAATCGAGGACTGCCCGTATTCCAGCCTGGGCAGGCATTGCTGGCCTCAGCTGGGGCTCCACCCTGGCGGGGGTGGAGGCCATCGTGGCCAGAGGGCAGCCAGCCTCCGTCCCCCCCTGACCGGGCCCCCCCTTTCTCCCCTGAAAAGGCCGGCACAATCGCGCTGCCCCCGCGAGCTCATCCGGCCGTCCTCAAGGTGGCTGCAGGGGAATCGGGTTCGGGCCCAGCTGGACTCAGCGGGCCTTCCTCTGCTTCACCCCGGGGTGCAGCCCCCCCCAGCCCAACCCAGCCCCCCCCCCCGCCCTCTCACACTGATCTCTGCAGGGGTGATGCGCCGGCTGGTCGGTCTCTGCTTCACGGTGGCTGCCCGGGAATCCGCTTCCGCCAGGTCTGCTCTCAGCGAGGGCTCCGCTGCGGCCAAGATCTCGTCCAGCTTCTCTGCAGAGTCAGACACACCGCACCCCGTTAGCCGGCCCGGCCCGGCCCTCGCCAACCGTGCCCTGCCACAGGCTCTGGGCCAGGGCTCTCCATCCGCGGCCACTTGAAGACTTGTGGGCTTCCACTCCCAGCAAAGCTGGCTGAGGAACGCTGGGAGTTGAGGTCCACAGGCCACGAAGGGCCCACGGATGGAGAGCCCTGGCCTAGGCTGCCCTGCAGAGTCCTGGGGGTGCCTGTGAGGGAGGCCCAGGAGAGCCTGGTGCCCCTGCCGCCCTGTGGAGGAGGTCGTCTCCTCCCAGCTCCTCAGCGTCCTCCCCCCAAAGGCCCAGAGAGCAGGAGGCTCCCAGGCCTCCCCAGCGGCTGAGGGACCTTCCAAGGTCAGAGAGCTGAGCCCTGTCCATCTCCCCCCCCCACTTCCTTGGCTGGCCCCCAAATCCAAAGGGCCCCGGAGTCCTGGCACTTCTCCCCCTTCCCAGAGTCAAGCGCTTAGAGGATTCACCTCAGCCAGCCGCCTTCGCGTTCCTCGGATTTGGGGCTCAGACAGGGGTGGGGAACGGGGGCCTTTGGGGACCCCCTCCCAGGATTCTGGAGCCAGCAGGGGAGTTGCAGTCTACCAGTCCTAAACAAGGGGCCCTTGTTCTCCACCCCCGTTTTAACAGAACCAAGAGAAGTTTTCTTTGAAGAGGAAACCCTTTTGGTACTTGCTGCGCCTCTCCCAGTCTTTGGAGCTGCTCTCCTGACTTGTCCCATCCTTCCTTATCCCGCACCCCCAAATCATCAAAGAGGCTCCCTCCCTGACCAGCAACCCCCTGCCAAGTGAGGCCTTTCCAGGCCACTTCTGCCCACGAGCAACGGGGCGAGAGCCACGTCTGGGTGAGCGTGCTGACATGAGCCCTCCCCCCCTTGGGCAGCGATCCTGCCTTCCCTTCCCTCCCGAGGGCTGCCCTCCCCCCCCTGCCCAGTTCTCTTCACAGAACGGAGGGAGTGGCAGGTCCAGCAGCTGAAAACATCACAGCTCAGGTGTTTAGGGTGTTGGGGGATTCACGATTCCCTGCCTTGGCCGCGCACACAAAATGGGCTTCATTCCCTAACGAGGTGATGTGTGGGCTGTACAAACTCCATCCACGGCACGATCGCCTAGGGCAGTGGTCCCCAACCTTTTTTGTGCCACGGCCCGGTACCGGCATCACAAAATCATCCGCGGCCCGGTACAGGCATCAGCACGCATGACAAGGCAAGGCGAGCCGAGCGACCGGCCAGCCAGCTGTCCCCCGCTTCTCCCCGCCACCTTCAACTCCTCCTTTGTACCTGTGTCGATGGGCTTCGCTTCGGGACGGTCGCTCGGCTCGCCTTGCCTTGGGTGCTGAAAGAACCCTTGCGCCTTAGTTTCGTTCAAAGCCGCCCCTCCTTCGATGAAACTAAGGCGTGAGGATTCCTTCAGGACCCAAACGCCGGTTTCCAACTGGAAAAGCTCACCCGGAAGCACTTTCTCATCGAAACAAGATGGCGGCACCCAGCAAACCGGCGGCCCGGTAGGAAATGTTCCACAGACCGGTACCGGTCCGCGGCCCGGTGGTTGGGGACCCCTGGCCTAGGTGACCGCAGCCTCTTGGGTTCCTGGCAAGAGTCCAGCCAAAGAGCCCCCCCAACTCAGCTGCCCCCACTAAAGCCGGGCTGGGGCCCCTCGTCCCCGGCCAAAGACCACGTGAGAAGGTCCTCCAGCAGCGTTTGCAGGATCCTGACTCCAGTCCCCACCTGGAGGCCACCAGGAGGCCACCGCCTCCCACCCCTCCACCTTCTCAACGTAGGAAGTTCAGCCAGAATACCAGCATCCCCACCGTTGGCTCCTGAAGACGGAGGCGGCTTCGGAAGGAGCGACAAGGTTTCAGGCCTTCACGGAGTTAACCGAATAACGGAGCTGGAAGGGAGCTCGGAGGCAGAGGTGGGATCCAGCCGGTCCTGACCAGTTCCGGGGAACCGGTAGGGGAAATTTTGAGGGCTTCGGAGACCCAGCAAACACCCCCTCTTGACTGGAGATTTCACAGCCTCCTTCCCCGGCCAGGCCCACCAAGCCACGGCCACAGAACCGGCAGTACAAGAATTTGAATCCCACCCTCTGCTCAAACTGGAGACCCGGAATCATTTCAGACAAATGGTTGTCCAACCTTGTCTTAAAAGCTTCCGGTGTTGGAGCATTCGCAACTTTTGAAGGCAACTTGTTCCAGCGGTTCACTGTTCTCACTGTCAGGAAGTTGGTTCCAGGTTGCTTCTCTCCTGGGTTAGTTTCCACCCGTTGCTTCTTGTCCTGCTGCCTTCCGGGGCTTTGGAGAAGAGGGTGACCCCCTTTCTTCTTTGGGGCAGCCCCTCAAATACTGGAAGGCTGCTCTCCTGTCTTCCCTGGTCCTTCTTTTCATCCCCAATTCCAGCAATCACTCCTTCTGTTTTAGCCTCCAGTCCCCCAATCATCCTGCTTGCTCTTCTCTGAGCTCTGGTTTCTAGCACCTCCAACAACACTGGAGACCATGATGGATCTTATGGGCACAGAGCTCTGGGTTCCGGTCATCCGCCTTGCTGTGGTGGCCAAGAAAGGCTCCCGATCTCTGGACATGGCTGGGCACGAGACCACCTGCCCACCTGTGACCTTCGCGACATTTCCTGGATCCAACAGCGCCTGATTTTCAGCCCACACGGAAGCGCCCACTCCGCCACCATCTCTGAACCAGGCACTCACGAGTTTAAAACAAGCCACAGCGAAAACCATCCTGGCTCCAAGCTGTGAAGAGACCAGGTCCAAGAAGCCCTTGCCAGTTGGGCAGAATCTACTTGCGAGAGTCCCCGAAGGCCGATTCCTCCTGGCGAGCTGAAGAGCTGCAGGAGCCTCCTTCCTTCGGGGTCTTTTCCCTGGGAGCATTTTTTGCTTCTAGCAGGAATTTCAGCACGGGTTTTCTGGCTAAAATACTGATTTCACCTTCCCTTGCGGAGAGGCTGTTGGGCGTTTGGCACAAGCTCCGGTCTGTGATGTTAAGACGCAGCCTGAAATCTGACCGGCGCTTCTCAGGCCGGACGGTTACCCAAAGCCAAGCGGTCATCACCTCCTTCCTGCCCAAGGGCTTCAGCTGAGCAGACCCCTCAACTAAGCAAGCTGACCCCCACCCAGAAGTTGGCCTGGCCAAAATGGGGGTGATCTTGTCCGGTGCTGGTCTAGTCAGGAGCTGCTCCCCAGACGAAACCCTTGCAGAAGGCAGCCTGGAGAATGGCAACCCCTGGAACAGGTGGGCCCCAAACCTTTGCCCTCTTTCAGTGGGGCGGGGGGGGGAGCAGGACTCCTCCATTGCCAGAACCGAGTCTCCCACCCTCAATTTTCCCCAAACCAGCATTCCTGGGATGACTCTGGACCTCTTTGGACCCTGACCACCTTTCTCCTCTCCCCCCCACCGGGCATTGGCTGGCTTCCGGGGGGGGGGGAACGGGGGGATATATTATCTATCAGCTTCCCATTCCCTCCTTGCAAAGCTCTTCCTGAGATTGGTTTCCACTGCAAGGGCCAGTCAGTCCTGCGTTTGGGGAAGGATTTGGGGGGGGGACGATACGAGTAAAGGGGCATTTCACCCTTGCCCGGCCCAGTAGCCCCTTTGCGGATATTCCTTACACCCCTCCCCCCCCCGAAAAATGCCATTGGGGGAGAGGTCCGGAGTGGGACTACTCAGGTGAACGAGGGGTGCATTATACAGAATAGCAGAGTTCGAAGGGACCTTGGAAGTCTTCTACTCCAACCCCTGCCCAGGCAGGAAGCCCTATAGACCAGGAGTCGCCAAGCTTTTGGACCTCAGGGACCACCACACTCATCATTTTAGATCCCAGGGATCTGGGGGCATGGCCTAATTTGTGGGTGTGGCTTGGTGGTCATGTGACTGGCTGGGCATGGCTTGTATGTAAATATTATAAATATTTATATAAATATTGATTTTTTTTTAATAAAAGAGCAACTTTTATCCAAAATCAGGCAAAGTTGGCAGGCAGATTGAGTTGCTCACGGAATCACAGATTCATTCAGAGATCTATCTATCTGCCATCGGCTAGCTCAGTCTGTCACATAAAATTTGCTTGCAAGCAAACTCACAAATTTAACTCACAACGCACCGTGCATGTAAATATTGAATTTTTTATTTTAAAAAAGAGCAACTTTTACCCAAAATCAGGCAAAGCAGGCAGACTGAGTTGCTCACAGAATCCTTCAGTGATCTATCTATCTATCTGCCATCGGCTAGCTCAGTCTCTCAAATTTGCTTGCCGTGAGCCTGCACTGAATTTGCTTGCAAGCAAACCTTCAGTCCTAAGGGAGGTTCGGCTGTGCTGAGCTGAAGAGCTAAAGATTAGCTAGAAAGCAAGAAATCCAACCTTTTCCTGCTTCCTAGCTCATCTAAATCTCCCGGCACAGCAGAACAGATGATGGTCGGAAAAAGAAAAAATAGAAATTTAGCAGGTAAATTTGTCGGGTAAGGACTGAGTGGGCGGGGAGGATTCCCGTGGGCCATGTAGGCTGCACAGCCTTGTGTTTCTGCACAGCCTGATTAATTGCTTGGGGGGGCGGGTGATCTGGGGGTGAGATTTCTCTGCGGCCCACCAACATTTTCTCACGGCCCACCGGTTGGCAACCGCTGCCCTAGACCATTTCAGACAAATTCTAGTCCAGTCTCTTCTTAAAGGCCTCCCGTGTCGGAGCCCCCACGATTTCTGGAGGCCAGCTGTTCTACGGATGAATTCTTCTCCCTGTCAGGGAATTTCTTCCGGACCTCCCAGCCTCCAAGGTTTCTTCTCCTTCCAGGAGGGCTGCCGCAGGAGGGGTCTTTGGCCGGCCCGGCTGCCCTGCGGGATCCATCCGCCTCTCCTGGCTGCCAGACCCTCTTCCTACTCTCCAGGTTGGGTCAGCTGGGCCAGGATTTCTGCGGCCTCCTCTTTCCCTCCTGGCTGCTCCCGCTGAGGCCTCTCCCGGGGAGTCCTTCTTGTCCCCACCGCCCACCCCACCACCTCCTGCTGGAAAGGCCAGGACAGGTGGCCCTGCTCAATCGCCTGCGTCTCCAGCTCCCCCCGGGCATCCTCTCCCTTTCTCCGGCTCCGAGGCCTCTGCTGGGGGGCTCTTCCAGGCCAGGGAGGGGCCTCTCTTGGCCCGCGTGCTTTGGACGCCCAAACCCCGAATCCCCTGGCTGGCAGCTGAGGTGCCTCACGTTGAAAGAGGCCAAGCAGACTCAGTGGGGACGCAGCTGAAGAAAGGTCTCTCTGGCCAGAGGACGCCTGCTGAACCCGCCGGCTGGGCTCCCAGGACACCCCCTGGGCTTACAAAGCACCATTGCTGGCTTCCTGTGACATGCCACGTCCCGACGTAGAAGATGTCACGGGGCTAAGTTTGGTGAGCCGAGTCACACCCCACCGAGGTCAGGCTCCCAGAGGCTGAACTGCAAACAACCGAAACCCATTTCAACCAGAATCGGATGGTGGTTCCATCGTGGTGTCCCTGATCAGAAATAAGTCAGAGGGCCGATGCTCTCAGTTTAGGTCAGGAGTCTCCAACCTTGGCCACTTTAAGCCTGGAGGACTTCAACTCCCAGAAGTCCCCAGCCAGCTTTGCTTGTATAGCTTTGCTGGCTGCTGGCTGGGGAATTCTGGGAGTTGAAGTCCTCCAGGCTTAAAGTGGCCAAGGTTGGAGACCCACAGCAAGAAGGGGGCCTTGGCCTCTGGTCCCGGCACCCTTCAGGAGTGGCCGAGGGGCTTCCGAGGAGGAACCATCAAGAGATGGTCCATCAAGAACCATCTCCCCATCAGCTGCCCGATCTAGGCCACCTTCAACCTGACACCCCCCATGTCATGTCAGCATGCAGCTACCAGGTTGAACCAACAGGGCCTTGGCACCCCATTCTCCACCCAACCTCACCCCACGCAAGGCAGAAGGAACAGGTACAACCCCCCAATCTAGCCTGGCCTCTCCCTGGGCAGCAGCACCCGCCCGGGGCCTTGGCTTTGGGCCGTAACAGGAGCTGCCTCGTCCCCTCTGCTCCTTCCCTGTGACGAGGCAGGACGGAGAGTTGGGAGGGTGATCCAGTGAACCCCCAGATAGGCCCAGGTGGGCATGAAAAGACCCCCTTTGATCAGCAGGTATCCTGTGATGGGAAGCTGCTTTTATTGATTGAGGGGGGGGAAACCATAGAATCCAACAGCTGGAAGGGACCCTGGAGGTCTTGTAGTCCAACCTCCTGTCCCAGGCAAGAGTCCTTATTCAGTCCTGGACAAACGGTTTCCGATCTTTTTCTGAGAGCCTCCAGTGACGGAGTCCCCACCACTTCCGTCCCACTAACTGTTCTCATCCCTCCTCAGTTCAAGGTTCCTTCTCTCCTTGGTGAGTTTCCAATCTGCTGCCCCTTCGGGGGCTTTGGAGAAGAGGTTGACCCCTTCCTCCTCTCTGTGGCAGCCCCTCAAGTAGCAGCTATCTTGCCACCCCGGGCCCTTCTCTTCGTTAGACTAGACATACCCAACTCCTGTAACTGTTCTTCGTAGGTTTTGGACAGACATTTATCCAGGATGGTATAAGGATGAATGGTCCCCGAGTCCTTCTTCATACGATTTAGTCTCTGGGATCGGAAGGAATCCCCAGGCTCCCCAACTGTGGCCACTCTAGGACTTGTGGACTTCAATCTTCTTTGCTGGCTGAGGAACTCTGGGAGTTGAAGTCCACCAGCCTTAAAGTGGCCACAGTTGGAGACCCCTGCTCCAGGCCGTCTCCACGAAGCAGGGTGAAATAACCAAGTTGTCCCTCTTTGTCAGACGGAAGTAAAAGACCGGGAGAGCACGGGACGCGTTTGATTTCCCCCACGACACACTGAAGCCAGCTGTGAGAGGGCGCCTTGGGGTTCTACGTGCCGGCCTTGGCTTCCAAACCCTTCCTAAGAGTCCTTTTGCGTCCGTTTGTGACTCGCACCAATGGCGATTGGGAAATCCCTCCTCTCCTTTAAGGAGCTGCGGAAAAACTAAACACGCTTCATAGCAGCCGTTTTCCACAACCGTGGCAACTTGGAATTCAACGCCCAGAATTCTGGGGACTGAAGTCCCTCCAGGCTTAGGGTCACCAAGTTGGAGAAAGGCTCCACCCCATGGATGGAGACCCCATTTTTACCTAACCCAGAAATGCATGTCAAGGTCCCTAGGAACCAACGCCCAGCCTGTAAGCGCCACCAGCGACTGCACTGATGTTGGGGGCGGAGCTTCGATGTCTCCTGCATGGCTGGGAACATCTGGGGAACACCTGGACAGGGTGCCAAAGTCACGTTCCACCGCAGGGCCCCTCCGGGCGCAGTTGCAGAAGCTCCTCCTTCCCCACTGGAGGGGGAGGGAGGGGAGAGGGTGGGTGGGTGGGTGGGAGGGGCCGCCTGAACCCAGAGGACCCCCAGGTTGGGGACTTGCACTCACCCCCTTTCCTCCTCCGCATCGAGGCTTGGAATCAAGAAACAAAGTACAAGACGTCAGTGGCAGGCTGGCACCTTTTCCGCCCCTGGGCTGCACCCCGTGCCTCTGCCAAGAGGAGACAGGGCCTGGGGTGAGGGTCTCCGGGGCGGGGGAGCAGCCATCTGGGACGCAGCCCCGGACAGGGTCCCACAAGGCAGCCGTTGTGCCCCCCCACCCAGCCCCTCGCCTGGCATGCGTGCTCCCCCCCCCAGCAGCCAGGCTTGGCCCCGGGGCACCCGAGTCCTCCTTGGCCTGACCCTGCCCGGCTGGCCCAGAACATGGCAAGCTGGAAGGGAACCGGGCGGGTTGGGGGGGACATCAGCACAAGGCGCCTGAGCTGAAGGTATCAAGGTGGACTGTCGCCTGGGACCTGCCTCTTCCCTCCCCCAACTGCCAGGCCCCGCCCCTCCTTCCCTCCCTCTGTGGCCCCCAAGGAATCTGGGGTTCAGCTCTGCTTCCTCCACTGCACCTCAACTCTGGGGAGGGGGCAGTCAAGGGGGGGCTGGGGGCTACCAAAGAACCTCAGGTAAACCCCCTGGGGAGCGGCTCACCTGGGGGGCTCCCTGGAGACCGTCTAGGGCTGCTCCTCTTTCAGCCCCCCCGTCCCCCCCCCCTGCACAAGGCCCTCTGCTGTCAGAGGAAACAGCAGAAACCGAAGGAGGCGCCAGCTGCCAACAGACCCATCCTGGCCCAAGAGGGTGGGGGGAGGGGCTGCTGGGGTTTGTGTGTTTCAATCCAGGGGTCTTAGTGGCCAGTCATCCTCACACCTGTTGGAGAAACCCACCTGCTTCCCCGAGGAAGACCACCCATCCTTGGCAGTGCTAAAATCCAGGGAAGGAAGGAAGGTAGGAAGGTGGGTGGTGGCAAGTGGGCCTCATCCCTTAGCCTGGTCTGGGTGACTTTGAGGGAGGGAAGGACCTCCAAGGCCCAGGGGGCTAGCCCAGCTGCTGAGCTGGCCAGCGAAAGGTGTGTTGCTGGAAGGACCGTGGGGGACGGAGCGGTCTGAGGGCCTCCCACATGGGGGTGGGGATGACCCCAAGGAGGCGGCCCAAGGGCTAGGAGTCCCCAACGTGGCTCTTCCGGAGGAGGAAGGAGGTCAAGCAAGCCAATGGGGGCTCTGCAAAGCCTCCTTTGCTGCCCAGCCAACGGTGAGGAGACCCTCCGAAGACCCTGGCCAGACCGCCCCCCTCACCTGATGCCCGTCCAAGAATGCAAGACTGAGACCAGAGAACCCCCCCACCCCCTCTGGGAAAAGTCTGGGTTGCAGGGATGTCCCTCCCCCCCCCCGAAGTTTTCCTCAAGCAGGCTGGAGGGGCTCCGGCAGGACGTGCACCACCTGAGCTGAGTCGGTCAGCCGGATGGGAGCTTTCACCCTGCAAGCGTTTGTGCTGGAGTCTGAACGCCCGGAAGACCAAATCTCGGCTCCCGGTGGGTGACCGGCCCCGGTTGGAAGGTGGGGGGGTCTTTGTGGAGCCCTTTCCACCAGCGCTGCTGCTCTTCCCCCAGGGAACCTCCCTCAGGAATGGGGGTGGGGGCCCCCCTGGGGACTTTGGGCAGAGCAAGAAGGACCCCCGACCCTGTCTGGAAAGGAGACCCTCTAGTCAGGGGTCCCCAACTCTGGCCACTTTAAGCCTGGTGGACTTCAACTCCCAGAAGTCCCCAGCCAGCAAAGCTATACAAGCTGTACAAGCAAAGCCGCCTGGGGAATTCTGGGAGTTGAAGTCCACCAGGCTTAAAGTGGCTCTAGGCCAGTGTTACCCAACCTTGACCACTCGAAAGAGGCGTGGACTTCAACTCCTAGAATTCCCCAGCTGGGCACGCCTGACTGAGGGATTCTGGGAGTTGAAGTCCACACACCTCCCAGCTCCCAAGGTGGAGCCATTGCCAGGGACGTCTTGCCTGGAGGTGAAAGGAAAGCAGAGGCTGCATGCAAGTGCATGGGGGGGGGGGGGGGGGGGCAGGCTTGGCACTAACCAGGGTGGCAAAGCCTTGGCCAGGCGGGAGCGGCAGCTGTGCAGGGATACAAGCCTCGGGGTGGATTCGGACAGTTCAGTGCAGTGAGGGACCGTGCCCGGCACAGGCGGGGGGGGGGGGGGGGGGGGGCCCTGGGGAGGGGGGGGGGGGGGGGGGGGGGGGGGGGGGGGGGGCGCTGGGGGCCGGGCGGGGCGGGGCGGGGGCTCCACTTACCCAGCTCTTCCAGCTCGGCGGTCATGGACTTGGAGCGCAGGGTGAGGGTGGTGCTGGGCGCCCGCTTGGGCGGCGGCGGGGCTGCAAGGAAGAGAGAGGCCGTCTTGCAGCGCCTGTCCAGCGGCAGCAGCAGCTTGCGCGGCGTGGCCAGGTGCAGGTGCCACTTCTTCTCCACCGCCTGGATCTCCTCGTACTCGCGGGACGAGGAGGAGTCGCACTGCTGCAGGATCTTGTTCAGGCTGCGCGTGGAGGCGAACTTCTTCATCGTCCCGCGGCCGGCCGGCCGGCCGGGGCCGGAGCGCCGGGGCGGGGCTCAGCTCAGGAGCCGGGCGGCCCCGGCTGGATCGGGCGCAGGGCTGCCGCCTCTGCCGGGCGGGCGGGCGCGGAGTCCCGCCGGCCGGCCCTCCTGCCCATGCCGGGCCCCGCGTTCCTCCGCTGGGCGAGGGCCGGAGCGCGCCTCCCCCTCCTCCGCGCCCTCCATCTGCCGGGCGGCGGCTCGTCACTTCGCCCGCTGGCGCCGGAGCGATGCAGGCTCCACGCTCCCCGTCGCCATGGCAACCAGCCCGGGCGCTTCTCCGGCGCCGCCTGCGGCAGAGACCCCGCGCGGGGGGGGGGGGCGGGGAAGCCCGCGGGGAGGGCGCGGTCCCTGCCACGGAAGGGCGCCGGGGGACCCCCGGGACTGGGCGGGGAACCTCTCTGGCCTTCGGGGGACTCGGCCGCCTCCGCCCGCGACCCCCCCCCC